GAATAAAAACAACGAAAATATATAAAGGCGACCGTGGCTCAGGGGGTTGGGAATCGCATCTGTAACCGGAAGGTTGCCGGTTCGATCCCTGGGCTCTCTGTCCTGGTCGTTGTGTCCTTGGGCAAGACACTTTACCCTACTTGCCTACTGGTGTTGGCCAGAGGGGCCGATGGCGCGATATGGCAGCCTCGCTTCTGTCAGTCTGCCCCAGGGCAGCTGTGGCTACAACTGTAGCTGCCTCCACCAGTGTGTGAATGAATAGTGGCATTGTAAAGCGCTTTGGGTGCCTTGAAAAGCGCTATATAAATCCAATCCATTATTATTATTATTATTAATCAAATCCAGGCAGAGGTGCCCTGCTCTCAATCACACGCGCGGTCTCCTACTGACTGGTCGGCACGTCACGCTGACCGGTCTGTCTCTAGATGAGACGTCGCACCCCCACGATCAGGCAGCGGGTCCCTCTTTTGCACCTGGCCTTCATGCATTCCTCTTCATATATGGGGCCTCTCTCCCTCCTGTGCTCCGCTAGCTTCCTTTTAATAGGTCCTTTAAACAGCTGATAGGCCACCTCTGGACACACCCACGCCTCAGCAGGTGATCACTATAATTTCATTTGTCCCATGCTCACCCAATCCACAGTGGATTAAAACAACGTCAAACAATACACTAAAAACATGCAATACAAACAGAATAAAATCATGCCAATAAAAACTGCACTCACAAGTAAACAATAAAAATCAGAATAAAACCAATAAAAAGATAAATACAAATTTCCACTGTGTGACAAAGAGACTCACATAATGTGCCGAAGAGGAAGAAATGAGAGAGGAAAAAACGATGTTCATATTGAAACTAAAAGATTTCTTAAGGCTATTGCAGGACATACGAGAGAATATATGAGAGAAAAAGGTCATGAAAGGAAAAAAACAAAAATATTTTTTAAGGCTTCATTCTGTCTTAAACTTTGAAAATCAACCTTGTTTAACTTTGTCACTGAGTTGTTGAGTGACATTTTTCTTTCAGCCCGACATAGTTGCCATACACTCAACAAAAATATAAACGCAACACCTTTGTTACTGCTCCCATTCCCCATGGGATGGACGTAGAGACCTAAAATTCATTCCAGATACACAATATAACCATCCCTCCCAAACAGTGGTCACAAATCAGTCCAAATGTGTGGTAGTGGGCACATCTGCTATATTGAGATAATCCATCCCACCTCACAGGTGTGCCACATCAGGATGCTGATCTGACATCATGAGTAGTGCACAGGTGTACCTCAGACTGCCCACAACAAAAGGCCACCCTGGAATGTGCAGTTTTGTCTCACAGCAAAATGCCACAGATGCCACAAGCAATGAGGGAGCGTGCAATTGGCATGCTGACAGCAGGAATGTCAACCAGATCTGTCGCCCGTGCATTGAATGTTCATTTCTCAACCATAAGCCGTCTCCACAGGCGTTTCAGAGAATATGGCAGCACATCCAACCGGCCTCACAACCGCAGACCTCGTGTAACCACACCAGCCCAGGACCTCCACATCCAGCAGGTTCACCTCCAAGATCGTCTGAGACCAGCCACCCAGACAGCTGCTGGAACAATTGGTTTGCACAACCAAACAATTTCTGCACAAACTGTCAGAAACCGTCTCAGGGACGCTCAACTGCATGCCCGTCGTCCTCATCGGGGTCTTGACCTGACTCCAGCTCGTCGCCGTAACAGACTTGTGTGGGCAAATGCTCACATTCGATGGCGTCTGGCACGTTGGAGAGGTGTGCGCTTCACGGATGAATCATGGTTCACATTGTTCAGGGCAGATGGCAGCTGAGAATGTCCCAGTTCTTGCATGGCCAGCATACTCACCGGACATGTCACCCATTGAGCATGTTCGGGATGTGCTTGACCGGCGTATACGACAGCGTGTACCAGTTCCCACGAATATCCAACAACCTCGCACAGCCATTGAAGTGGAGTGGACCAACATTCCACAGGCCACAATTGACAATCTGATAGACTCCATGCGACGATGTGTTGCACTGCATGAGGCAAATGGTGGTCACACCAGATACTGACCGGTTCTGGGTCCCCAGACCCCCAATAGCGCAAAAAACTGCACATTCCAGGGTGGCCTTTTGTTGTGGGCAGTCTGAGGTACACCTGTGCACTACTCATGATGTCAGATCAGCATCCTGATGTGGCACACCTGTGAGGTGGGATGGATTATCTCAATATAGCAGATGTGCCCACTACCACACATTTGGACTGATTTGTGACCACTGTTTGGGAGGGATGGTTATATTGTGTATCTGGAATGAATTTTAGGTCTCTACGTCCATCCCATGGGGAATGGGAGCAGTAACAAAGGTGTTGCGTTTATATTTTTGTTGAGTGTATAATGCAATATATGCACATCTTCTAATTAATCACATATCTATTTAAATTTAATATCACGTGGAATAAAATGCTTAGCATTCATCTTTAAAACACAGGGATAGGTTGCTTTTTTAAGTAATTATGATTATAAATATGTATTATAATAAAGCAGAAGCAGGACAAAGAGAAGATGTCTTGGTGTATGCTCAATTATCCAGGTAAGGAAATCCTCACCTTTCTCCTACTGAAACCAAGAAACAGAATAACCTTTTTAGGACAAAGAGCAGAGTTTCCACACAGTCATATGGGTGAGGAAGTAACTGCGGCAGGCACTGTGTGGTAGAGCATTTTGAAAGCAGAAATGCTTAAACTTAAATATCTGTAATAGAAATGCACGTGTAAGCTGTTGTTTCTTGTTAGTCTCAAAGTCAAACAGCACAAACACTTAAATACAAAAGAAAAACATTTTAAATTTTCATCACCAACACTTTATAAGCCACGACTAGACACCAGACTGATGTCTCTGTGTATCTGGATGGTGATTACAATTATTGTTGGAATCTGAAAAGTCTGAAGTAATGACACATCACAATCAAGAACATCTGTTAGTGACTAAACACAATGACAGTAAAAGGAATGTGCATTAAAAATGCTACAGGAGGAGTCATATTTAACACAGTTTATTACATTAGTATTCTGTTAACACACTTATGCAGAGTATACACGTATAAATCTGTGAACCTGTTTCAAAGAGCTGGAGTGTCGTGACTTAATGGTCTCAGTTACTACAAAACAGTGACAGTAAAGGCATGTAATGATCATCCAAAACAATTTCTTTTAGACCACTAATGCTCATGTGCCACTTACAGTTATTATTATTTATTTCACATATTATATATAAATATATTATATATAACTGTTAAAATTTACATAGATTAAAGAGTTTGATTATAAAGGCCAACACTAATCACAACAACACCTATTGTGCTTGATTTGTAGTTGCATTGTGTTTTGGGTGATCTGAGGTGACAGTTTGGTAGAGATCGTTTGTTGGATACTGAAGGTTTGTGTAAAGGTCATTTTGCACATTTTCATCCTGTAAGCTAAAATTAAAAGTCTGATAAAAAAAACTCAAGGTGACCAAAGGTGTGTTGAATCAAAGTAACTTCACAAAAACAGCCTCAGCCAACATTTTGAAATAGAACTGGATATAAAACAAACTTTAAACCTGCTGCTTTGTCTTTACAAGGAAATTACTCAGCAAAGACTGAGTCTCATTCACTGTATAGTCCAGATGTTTCTGACCTTGAACAGCCACTTTGGATAACAAATGATGTTAGCATTACTTTTTTATGATCAATATGCTGTTATATGCACAATTGATTAATACTTAAATAGACAGTGTCAGATACGTTACTGAAAGACGTTACATCAAAATGACCTTCAGCTAAAGTGGATTAACCAAAATGAAAAGAGAATCACATGTTTTAAAGTTATGAAGCGTGTTAAAAGGTAAATCATGAAACATGTGAAACAGCTCTGACAGTAGTTTCTCACCTGTCGCACAGTCGTGCGTAAATAAATCCAAAGATAACTAAACTCACAATGATGAACACGGTTACACAAATCAGTGTAAGAGGAAGTGTTTCTGTTCCAGACCTGCTGCTTAGTTCTGTATGAGGAGAGAAGCAGTTGTTAGAAACATGAAAGGAGTATTGGCATTACTAGCGAACAAAGGTTAAGTGTGATGTATGACTATTGCCTTGTAAAGTTAACAAATCCTGAAGGTCACCTTCTAAAATCAGTACAGACTTTATATTGCTAAATAATTTATGGTTAAAAGAAGAAAATAGGTTGTTTACCTTGTTTACCTTCCACAGTGACATTACAGTTTTTTACAGCCGCTAGGACACATTTCACAATACTTAGGTCACTTTTGCAAAACTCTTCACACAATTCTCCTAACTGACCGTCAGCTTGGCAAAGCAGTTCATTTCACATTCAAAATGCACTACAACTACCAAAACACTTTATTCAGGTCTCAAATAAACTCATTCTTCCAGAACACTAGCAAAGGTTGACAGCCGACAAACACACTTTGTCACCCACAAAACAATGACCTAAAAAACACTAACAACATGTAGCATTACAGTGTTTTCTTGTGTAAAACAAGGACACATCTCTGTTTATAATTTCAATATATGTTACTGGAATGAATCAGACATCATGCAGAATTCGTTAATATTTGTTTATGTATTTTTATTTTTTTGCACTAAGTAATCCCAAAATACAAGAATTTGTATACACACCATCCACTGATACACATACAATAGTAATGCTAATCTACTCGGTCTCCTCCATTTGGCCACAGGTTCTCATCCACATCACATCTCATGTCATCTAGGGCAACACACCTAGGAAAGAATCTTCTGGCTGCCAGAATTGAAGGAGTTGAAAATTGAAGGAGTAACACCTGTGTAGATGTTCATCTACAATGAGAATCAGCTGTGGCTGGTTAAACTGCATTTTTAGATTTAAAATATGTTTCAATAAAATATTGCTGTTGAATTTTGCTGTCTTTTCAAGTTTTGCATTGTGTTATTGTTTTGGCCATAAGTTTAACAGTTTTGAAAACAGTATGTAAGCACATGCAAAATGTCCTGTACGTACAAAGATTTTTGGCAGTTGTTGTGTCTGAGTGAGAAAATAATTCATGAAATTTGAGAGATGTAGTCATTGAATGCATTTTGTGCCAAAACAATGATAACTGATCCTCAGTTTAGCCCACATAGACTTCTGTTGTGCTCACTGTGTGAGGAGTTTTGCAAAAGTGACCTAAGTATTGAGAAATGTGTCCTAGCATCTAAAAACTGTAATATAATATTATTTATAAATACACCCCTCCGGCGATTAATTGCATACCTGCATGGAGGCAAGACCTCACAGCAGAAGCCTACTCCATAATGTGTTTTACATTATTATATGTATATTATATGTAACGTGGTATTTTTCAATTATTGTATTTACCAACATCAAGAAGTCACAAGCAAAGAAAGACCACACCATGGTGCATGTTTAAACAAGGAGAGTTTACTGGTCAAAACTATTTATTAAACAAATAAAACACATTTTTTTAACCACCAAAAAATACACGTTCAAAGCAACACAACGGCGGCCCAATATCAGACAGAATTCCACTCTGTAGAGTGGGCAATCATAATGAAGCGGTTGGTTTTATTTTGTGGATTCAAGCTGCTCTTCATATTTTTGGCCACCAGATGTCACCAGAGAGGACTGTGTTGAAAAGCTTCGAGTAATGAACCGTTTTTCAATACAAGCTTCAGAAAGCTTCATTTGGCCATCACTACTGACCAGCCTCTCTCATTGAGTGACCATGATTTACTACATGATCGATTACAGTAGCTCTGATCTTCCTCTTATTCTTCTTCCACCACGCATACGTATTCCTCGCCCCCTCCCAGCCACTCTTCTTCCTCTTTCAGCCACTTCTCCATTTCTGGCTGGGTCCATGTTTACATCACAAAACAAACCTATTCAGCAGTTGTCTCCTTTTGTAATGAAATTGAAGGAGTAACACCTGTGTAGATGTTCATCTACAATGAGAATCAGCTGTGGCTGGTTAAACTGCATTTTTAGATTTAAAATATGTTTCAATAAAATATTGCTGTTGAATTTTGCTGTCTTATTCAGTTTTGCATTATGTTATTGTTTTGACCATAAGTTTAACAGTTTTGAAAACAGTATGTAAGTACATGCAAAATGTCCTGTACGTACAAAGATTTTTGGCAGTTGTTGTGTCTGAGTGAGAAAATAATTCATGAAATTTGAGAGATGTAGTCATTGAATGCATTTTGTGCCAAAACAATGATAACTGATCCTCAGTTTAGCCCACATAGACTTCTGTTGTGCTCACTGTGTGAGGAGTTTTGCAAACGTGACCTAAGTATTGAGAAATGTGTCCTAGCGTCTGTAAAAAACTGTAAGATGGAGAATATTTGTTTTTCAGGAGTTGAACACTGACAGGTGTAGCTCCCACTGTCCTCTGATGTTAAATTGATCAGGTGGAGAAACTCAGTCTGATTTTCCTTCATCAGCGTGAACCTGGAGTCACATTTGTTCCCAAAGCCCTGTCCATATTCATACAGCAGTCTACAATTTTCTCCTCCACTTCTCTGAGTTCTGATCGTACAAACGATCAGTGTGATGATTCTCTGTGTTTCATTGGTGCATATTTGAGTGACATCTGGTTGTTTCCCAATTGTTTTCACAACAGTTTCTACAATCAAAAAAAAAAAAAATAGAGGCTGAAGTATCATTAAAAAATCAATGTTACTTTATGAATCAGATTTTTACATTACCTCCCCCTAAATCTTCTGAGCTTGCAGTTAGTGGTAGAAGAAGAATTAAGTACAACTTCAGTGCATCCATATTTGTCCAGGTGTCAGAGTAACAGTGTAACTGCTGCTGACAGTACAGATGATGATGTACTGAACAGAGTTATAGACCTTAAAGTAGCATCACTCACAGAGGTACATGCTGGTGAGGGTATTTCTGTAAAGGAAGAGCGTGTACATGACTGCCTGTTCCTTTGTATTAAAACACTCTTACAGTGAAAGAGGTACATGCTGGTGAGGGTATTTCTGTAAAGGAAGAGCGTGTACATGACTGCCTGTTCCTTTGTATTAAAACACTCTTACAGTGAAACGCTGAGCAGACTCACATAAAAACATAAAACATACGCATTTGCTCATTTTCATGTCAGTGAGTGTAATAATAAAAGGTAAAGAAAAATAAAATGAAAAACAGTGCCACACTTTATGTGTCAGCCGGTAAGACCAAACTGTGCTTTACTTGTATCAAGCTTTTCTTTACCACCGGCCTGACAGTTTCATGAATGCTCTTTATATGACCGTAACTTTTTACTGTTTGTGATGAAGACACATTTCAAGTAGTTTCAGAAAGAAGAGAAGCTTTAGTGGCATCTTCAGTGTATCACTGTAGCATCAAGCATTCACACAGGTTGTATAGCTGGCAAGATTCATATAGAATGAGTCATAATGCTAAAAGTGACTCTTTGATTTTTGTGGTCTTCACATGTTTAGAGCAATGAACTTTGAGCTAGAGCACTGTGCACTCAACAACGTGATGCTGACCCCGCTACTTAATAAAGAGATCTGTGTGTGTGCGTGCGTGCGTGCGTGCGTGCGTGCGTGCGTGTGTGTGTGTGTAAATATGTAAGTTATGCAATAAAGTTCTGAAATAAATATCCATATTTCTGGATTTGACAATTACTCACATAAACTTCATGTATAGATACTGTAGATGTTTCTGAGCTTAAACCATTACACTGAAAAAGGAGATATGTCAGCATTATTGAAATATAAATTTAAATATATGCAAGTTAAAAATATTGAAGAACGGATGTTTTAGAACACATTCAACAGAAATATGTGGAGCAATCAAGTCATTTTTCACTTATTCCATTTATTTTGACATTATCTCACTGTGAATAACTGAAAGCAAATATTTATACAGTCCCAATCAAAAATTTAAGACCACTTGAAAAATTGTAAAAATAAATAAATAATAAATCATATTTTGCATGGTTGGATCTTAACAAGGTTCCAAGTAGAGCTTCAACATGCAACAAGAAGAAATGGGAGTGAGACAAAACATTTTTTTGAGCATGTAATTTATTGAAAACAGCGCTTAAACTCAAACAAGCTGTTTTACAGCTGATCAAAAGTTTAGGACCACATGCCTTTAAAGGCCAAATCTGTGCAAAAATGTGGATCATTGTCATTTCTGTCATGTAGTCACACTGTCATTACGTTCTGATGGCAAAGGCAAAACAACTTTCCTTTCTTGAACGCGGTCAGGTTGTTGAACTGCATAAGCAGGGTCTCTCGCAGCGCGCCATCGCTGCTGAGGTGGGATGCAGTAAGACATTCATTTGGAATTTCTAAAATGAGGGTTATGGATCAAAAAAGTCAAGATCCAACTGGCTGTCTGTTAAGACACTGGATGATCCTCTATCCAAATTAAAAACTGACGCTGATTAAATGTTATATGTTTTCATACAGTCAGCACGGTGGCACGGTGGTTAGCACTGTTGCCGCACAGCAAGAAGGTCCTGAGTTCAATTCCACCATCAGGCCGGGGTCTTTCTGTGTGGAGTTTGCATGTTCTCCCCGTGTTTGCGTGGGTTCCTCCGGGTACTCCGGCTTCCTCCCACCGTCCAAAGACATGCAGCTTGTGGGGATAGGTTAATTGGATAATCCAAATTGCCACTAGGTATGAATGTGAGTGCGAATGGTTGTCTGTCCCTGTGTGTTGGCCCTGCGACAGACTGGCGACCTGTCCAGGGTGTACCCCGCCTCTCGCCCTATGACAGCTGGGATAGGCTCCAGCCCCCCCGCGACCCTGGATAGGAAGGAATGATGATGCGGATGGATGTAACTTAATTATGCTGAAAATCGTGTCCTAGCATCAGCTGTAAGTGCTCTAAGGTGTCATGTTTACTGAGTCAAATCAACTCTGACTTCAATGAGCCACAAAACAGACATTTCTGTTGAACTTCTGGCATCTAACACTTAAAAAAATCTGAATAATAAACTTGAATTTGAATAATATGTAAAGAAACATTGTGATAATAATTTTATCATATTTCTAACATGTTCTGCACACATCACACACTACGTTATCATATCTGAGGTATTCAAAGCACAGTTTACAGTTTCTACTGACATTAAACAGTTAAAACAGTCATTTATATGAAAAACAAAGTGAAATCAGGTGTAATCGCTTGTATAAGCCTGGACATCATGTTGTTTATTATTTAAACTGATGAACGAGGAAAAAGCAAGACAACAAATCAACCATGTAAACAGTTCAATGTCCTTTTAATAGAGTGGGAAGAAGTGACATTCCACAGTGACAGGTAGTTCCATCGGGAGCTGAACACTGACAGGTGTAGCTCCCACTGTCCTCTGATGTGAAATTGATCAGGTGGAGAAACTCATCAGCGTAAACTTGGAGTCACATTAAAGCCCCGTCCATATTCATACAGCAGAAAACAATTTCCTCCTTCCATTCTCTGAGTTCTGATCTTACAAACGATCAGTGTGGTGATGTTCTGTCTTTCATATTTGAGTGACATCTGGTTGTTTCCAGTTGTTTTCACAGCAGTTTCTGAAACCAGTAACAATAATACAAACAGCCTGAATGATTTGAACCAGAGGCTCGAGTAGCATTAAAAAATAAATATTACATTATGAAAACATTACCTCCTCCTAAATCTTGTGAGCATGCAGTTGGTGGTAGAAGCAGAATAAAGTACAGCTTGAGTGCATCCATATTTGTTCAGGTGTCACAGTCACTGCTGCAGACAGTACAGACGATGTTGTACTGAGAGTTGTTAATAAACCTCAAAGAAAGAAGCTTCTATAAAGGAAGTGCATGCACGCGACTGCTTCTGCTGTCATATTAAAACTATGTCAAAGTGAAGCACTAAGCAAACTCAAGGAGTTACATAAAACTCTTATATCTCTCACAGCGTTTCATGCGGGTAGAAATCTTCTGCAAAGGGAAGTATATGGATGATCACTTCTGCTTTAAGTTAAAGACCCTCTGAAAGTAAAACACTGAGCAGAATCACACACAAAAACTAAACATACTCATTTTCATCTCAGTGGGCGTGTCACACACAAAACTGCCATGTTTGTTGACATTTACACACTCAAGATTTAATATATAGATAATATCTTCACAGCTAAAACAGAATTAGATTCAGAAGCAGCACAGCAGAGTTTCTGTGTGACCATACTGATCAGGAAGTAACTGTGGCTGTGAGGATGATGTAGAACTATTTATAGAAAAAAAGACTCGTACCCCTCAGTAACACCTCAAATTCTCCTATGTTTGGATGCCTTAAAGGTTAAAATAGTGAGTAAACAGATGAATACAGAAGAGAAACCAGGAAGAGTTTTTAACTGTTTTGTTCTAGTTTAGAAACAAACTCGTGTCTGGAATTAAGAGCTGACGATGGTGAAATGTTAGTTTTCATAAACTTTCAAATACACAAGGATTCATATTGACACAGTTACTTTGTATTTGCAAAAGGACACATCTGTGAACCTGTTTAGTTAGTTAGTTGTTATAAAACATGTATCCAGTATGAAAGAGACGTCTTGTCATAAAAATATTTATATCAGAGCAATATTACTCATGTGTCATGTGCAGTTTTACATGTTTCAAAATGTTTCAATATTGCAAAAATAAAAGCGTTTGACTATCAAGGCTGACAGCTTCTGTTCTCCTGGCTGAATAATCACAACAGCAGACACTTAATATTCTTAATTTGTAGTGATGTCGTGCTGAGCGGTGATCTGAGGTGATAGTTTGGTAGAGATCATTTGTTGGATGCTGAAGGTTTGTGTAAGAATCATCTTGGACATCTTCATCCTGTCAGAAGATAATATTCAAACTCATACAGCATAATTATATTAAGTCTGACTTAATTATGTTGCAAACATGTTACTGCTGAATAAAATCACTTTTTATTTTATTTGGACATTTTCATCCTGTAAAATAAAATTAAAAGTCTGATAAAAAAAACTCAAGGTGACCAAAGGTGTGTTGAATCAAAGTAACTTCACAAAAACAGCCTCAGCCAACATTTTGAAATAGAACTGGATATAAAACAAACTTTAAACCTGCTGCTTTGTCTTTACAAGGAAATTACTCACCAAAGAGCCGTGAGTCTCCTTCACTGACAGTCCAGATGTTTCTGACCTTGAACAGCCACTTTGGATAACAATGATGTAGCATTACTTTTTTATGATCAATATATCTGATAAATTATTAGCAGGCAGCTAATTGACTTTAATTCACTTAAACATGAGAACAGCAGGGCAAGACGTTACATCAAAATTACCTTCAGCTAAAGTGGATTAACCAAAATGAAAAGAGAATCACATGTTTTAAAGTTATGAAGCGTGTTAAAAGGTAAATCATGAAACATGTGAAACACAGCTCTGACAGTAGTTTCTCACCTGTCGCACAGTCGTGCGTAAATAAATCCAAAGATAACTAAACTCACAATGATGAACACGGTTACACAAATCAGTGTAAGAGGAAGTGTTTCTGTTCCAGACCTGCTGCTTAGTTCTGTATGAGGAGAGAAGCAGTTGTTAGAAACATGGATGTAGTATTTGCATTACAACTGAGCAAAGGTTAAGTGTGATGTATGACTATTGGCCTCAAAGTTAACAAATCCTTAAGGTCGCCTTCTAAAATCAGTACAGACTTTATATTGCTAAATAATTTATGGTTAAAAGAAGAAGAACGTTGTTGTTTTTACCTTGTTTACCTTCCACAGTGACATTAAGATGGAGAATTTTTGTTTTTTCAGGAGCTGAACACTGACAGGTGTAGCTCCCACTGTCCTCTGATGTTAAATTGATCAGGTGGAGAAACACCGTCTGATTTTCCTTCATCAGTGTGAACCTGGAGTCACATTTGTTCTCAAAGTCCCGTCCATAGTCATACAGCAGACTACAATTTTCTCCTCCACTTCTCTGAGTTCTGATCTTACAAACGATCAGTGTGATGATTTTCTGTGTTTCATTGGTGCATATTTGAGTGACATCTGGTTGTTTCCCAATTGTTTTCACAACAGTCTCTGAAATCAGTACCAATAATAGAAACAGTATCAATGATTTAAACCAGAGGCTGGAGTATCATTAAAAAATAAATGTTCCATTATGAAAACAGTTTTTACATTACCTCCTCCCAAATGTTGTGAGCATGCAGTCAGTGGTAGAAGCAGAATTAAGCACAGGTTTAGTGCATCCATGCTCGCCAATATGTCCGATTTGCAGTGTAAGTGCTGCTGATAGTGCAGAAGATGATCCGCTGAAGAAAGGAGGACAAACAATGTGCTTCATAAACCTCAAAGTATTGGCTCTCATGTGTCTTGCGTACGTCTTGTGCGAACACTTCTCAAAAGGAAGTGCACCTACAACACTGCTTCTGCTTCCGTATAAAGACACTCTAAAAGTGAAACACTGAGTGGTCTCATGTCCAAAAAAAGAAAACACAACAACTTTTAAAACAAAGTTGTTTTTTGCTTTTAGTCCAACATATAATTTCCTTTACAAAAGCAGGACTGAAGAGCAGAAAAGCAATGAGGCTGATGATTGTTGTTATCAGTGATTCAAACCTACAACTCATTTAAATTCACACAAGCTATTGTACTATTTATATAATGCAGCACACATTCATGCTGTATATTTCATATTTATGTTAACTGACCTGCTTCCCATGTTTGTTTGGCTCCTGCCTGGAGTTGTGTTCATAAAGAAGCAGGTCACATAATGTTACACAGGTTACATTCCTCCTCTGCTCTTCTGTGGTGACGTTCAGATTATCAGTGTGATACTCGGTGTTTCATGTTCGACTGACATTTGCTGAACTAACAAGAGTGTCTGTGATAAGTCAGGAACTTTTAATATGAAATACAATGTAAATAAGCATTTTATTTTAGTTAATTGTTTGAAAATGAAGCACGTCTTTCATTTTCCTGGAAAAACAGAAAATATTAATTCCTCAACTTTATAAATAAAAGCTGTTCCTGCTTTTCTCTTATTTAAGCTTTGCATGTTTGATTTGGCAGACTTTTTACTGCCAAACTGTCATATTGGTCCTTTTTCGACATGGCACCGAAGGGATTTCTGTCTCCTCCTGGGATCAAGCCTATAATCTTTCACTTAGAAGAAATATGTGCAAACTACTGCACTAAAAATATGGACATTACCATCACAAGTAAAGCACACAGTGTCATATTGGTCAGAAGACTTGCGCCCTCTCAGACACCACATCCTGTGACTAAACCACAAATTCTCACTTTGTCTAAAGAATGAAGCGTGTGGATCTGCAAGATTTTTGTAGGGAAGCCTCGAAGTAAAACAGTGAGTAAGCACAGAAGAGAGGAGAGAAATGTAGTGTGTTTTAAAAGGTTATTAGTTAGTAAGCAACATTATGCACGGCCTTACAGGAAGAGCCCTCTGGAAAGACGTGTAGACACACAAAACAGTTTCATTCAAACTGTAGTCCACGATTTAAAAGAGTTTGATGTTTAAGACAAACTTTGTAAAATGATGAGTAATCATGTCAATTTGAGACATGTAACAAAACTATGGGAAATAGCAAACCTGAAGCCATGATCATGTGCAACAATGAGTTCCAGTCAGAATAGCAACATAATATCATGCACAATCTACACACCACCATCAAACTGCACAAAACATGTAAAATTCTATTGAATTTGAAAATTTCTAAAACCCATATAGAAGTTTCAAAGCCTCACAGCGATGTTGTCCTGGGAGTTGTTTTCATAGGTTTTAGGATTCTGATTCATTTCCTGATTATGCAGGCAGAGAGTTTCTGTTCCGCTCGCTGAATCGGTCTTAGTGCCGTGTTGATGTTGAACTGACAGTTTTGTAGTGAATATATGTTGGCTGCTGAAGGATTGTGTAAAGGTTATCTCTCACAATAAAAAGTCACACTGCATAATTACGTTAATACATTTTTATATTATAATTATATTCCCAGCTGGATAAAAGCAGTCTTTGAATATTTTGATCTTCCTGTATCCACTGTTTGTTTTTTCTTTGCCATTTAAAAAAACAACAAAAACAAAACAAAAAAACTCAGCTAACACCCTGAAATAGAAATGGATATAAAAGATGGAAATAGATCTGTTTTCTTTTCTTTTTTTGTAAGTAAGTTACTCTCAGAGTGCTGTCTCATGGACAGATAATCCAGATGTTTCTGACCTAGAACATCCACTTGGGATAACCTGTGACTTTTCATTGTGTACATAAATCCTAGAATAACTCCAGTTACTGATTCCAACAACTGAGCCAACCAGATAAATGGAAACATATTTCTGTTGAACCCCAAGCATCTAAAATATTTAAAAGATCTTTTTTCCCCTCAGAAAAATAAACTTGAATCTATACAGTATATAAGGAAAGATTGTGATAATAGTTTAATCTCATATTACATCATCTGCAGTTAACACAAATCATAAATGACATCATACAGTTTACAGTTTCTATTGAAATTAAACTCTTAATGTAGCCACAAATATAACAATTACACACAGACAGATTTTCATGCACAAATAAGCTGAACCGATGTCCTCCTTAAACAGGTGCAGTTTCTTGTATAAGTGAGGATGTGCTGCTATTTAAACTACATATAAAGAAAAGGGAAGACATTATAGCATACAATACATGCATCATACAACCACGTAAACACTTAAATGTTCATTTAATAGAGCAGCAAATAACCTTTAATCATGTCATAGTGTCTTGTTCTTCTTTTGATTGCTCCCTTTAAGGTTTCACAGAGATGGATTATCTTGTCATAGCCTGCTGTATGCTTGCAGAGTGAGGACTCACATACGAGGATAAACTTTAACAGCAGATTTATTGCTGAAACCCCAGAACTCACAATACAAAACTTGGAGACCACAAAACACTAGGGACCAACATCACTTAAGGAGAGCACACAGATGCAGGGGGAAAAGAAAAACTGAAGACTTAAATAAACACATGAGGTAAGAGTAGAGTGGAAACACCTGAGGAGCACAGCTGAACAAAATCTACTAATGAACCAAGGAGGGCAAAGCAGAAAATAACACAAACACAATCACAGAGATGCAGACTAAAGTACAACTAGACACAAGAAAAGGGTGAAGAAACAGAGACATGACAGAGCCAGGGAATCGTGAGCGAGAGAGGGAGAGGCAGAGTGTGACAGACAGAAAGAGAAACAAGTGCAACAACCACAAGTAGAAGCAGAGCAAAGCAGAGTTTCCACACCGTCATACTGGTGAGGAAGTCATTTGGCTGACAGTGTGCGCTAGAATGTTTTAAAAGCAGAAAGCCTTGCAACCGTCCTTGTCAGAAACCTGTTGTGGCTACTTCAACCAGAGAGAAAGATGTCACGTGTAGTTTCAGATATTTGTACGCACAGAAAGACAAAGAGAAAATGATCAGATTTGTGAGTCGAACTTAATCATTGTGTGTAAACGATTAGTATTTATTTGTTTGGGTGTAGGCATTTGTAAAATAGTTTTCCGTGTGGTCAAATTACTTTGTATTTTTATGTGGATTGAAGCACACGGGTGTGAATCATTGGACACATTTGTAAAGCTTAGTTTTGGTTGGTGGATAATATTGTACACATTTGCAACCCTTCTGAAGACAATTTCTCTCCATACATCTCCACCCAATCCACGCTACTTGCACTCTTTTATACATGTCTCTAACATGGAGACAGAGACACACAAACTTGACCAAGACAAGTGGAGAAAAAACAGAGACATGACTGGGGTAAGAGATAAGACTGACTTTCACATGAGTCGCTGAGGACAAACACAAAAGGAACCATGAATCAGAAAAACAAATACACAGTAAATGCAAATTATTTACATGGCAGTGCACTTCAGCCACAAATGTAGACCCCCTAAATAAAACATTATGGGTTATTCAGAACAGAACGATGCTTGGAGAAATATTTTCCCATCAGTTGATCCAACTCCTCCACAATAGCAGGTGGGATTTTTCCTTTTTCCTCCACAATAGCAGGTGGGATTTTTCCTTTTTGAGGACGGCTTCTTTTACCTGTCACTACAGATGGTCTGTTTATGTTTTGATTGAGAGCCTTTTTTTGGGCAGCTGGAGAGGAGAAGTCCATCTTATGGCCAACCTCTGACTGTTTTAATTAAACAGAAAAGCGGTGACATGGGTGCAGGCAGTAGCGGTTTTAGATACGGGCGACACGGGCGGTTGCCCGGGGCGGCATCGTGGTGGGGGGCGGGGGCATCACGGGCATCGGCAAAAAAAACAAAAAATAAATAAAAAAATTGCTCGTACTCATGCTGCCCCGACTCAGCCAGCGCATATTGGGAATGGCTGGCACCGATCGGTTTTCTATCGCCCATTTGCTGGGAGTAAGGGCGCCCTCCGTTTGCGAGGTGCGCCTGCTGCTTGCGGCGCAGGAGGAGAGGGCGGGGCGGCGGGGGATTCTCTGACCGGCTGGAGCAGCATCTAATAACCAACTCGCAAAATAAAACAAAAAAAACAAACCAACAAACACGAAAACACCAGACATTATGATACAGACTTATAATTTGCACCGATGTTTTTTCGAAATTCTATACGCGAAAAGTGAGCGCGAGAGCCCTCGGTGCGACCTGCTCGCTGCTGAAGTCAAAGTAAACTTTATTGTCATCTCCGCTACATACAGTCCAGTATATAGAGAGACGAGACGACGAGGCTCCAGTTACAGCAGTGCAAGTAAACAAACAATAAATATAAGAAGAGTAAGAAAATAAATATACACTTTAGGACTCGGGGTAAAGGGATCAATAACAATTTAAAATGTATAATTTACAGTTTGATGATTTAAAGTCTCACACACAACGTCGAAAGGGGAGGGGGCGGCTGCTTCCAAATAGAGCACATTTCATTCATAATGTTGTAAATCCAAGCCCATTATGTATTCATGATTTGAATCCTGGGTTGTGTGAAATCCCAGAAATAAACCCTCGACAAAGTGAATCTGTGAACTAAGGTGTAGGTTGTTAGAGTCATGTTGTGGTGATCCTCGGGTTGAGGGGATGGGTGTTCATACTGGAGTGCAAAATTAAAACCAATGGAAGATGGACAAGAAAAGTTCAAAGCCATCAGGTGCTCAGTTTAGAAAAATAGAAAAGAAGAGGAGGAGAAACGAGCAAAAGATACAGGTAAGCAGATGTGTCATTGGATAATGGCAGGTCATCCTGACAACAAGTCAGAATACTTTATTAATCCCTAAGGAAATTAATGTGGGTTACAGTTGCTCCAAGAAGAAATGGTAAAAATAGCAACAGTAACAGACTAAACTCCAAACAATACATTATGTTACAGATTTTAATATTAATTAGTCATTGTCAATTGT